GCTGTAAAAACGTCAAGTGTGCATGAGGACTAAAGCTTAACAGAACATGTTGAATCTAGAAGCTGATTGGTAACATTGCACAGACGCTCTAGATTCTGCACCCCCCCCCCCCCCGTCCCCCCCGTCTGACAGATAATTAAGAAGCCATTAAGAAAGTATGTAGGAGCTGGAGTGATTTGTACAATGGCCCATGTTCTTCAAATACCCAACAACAGAGATATAAAAACAGAACCAGAGTATATGACATGAAAACAATGATCATGTGTCCTTAGTAATCAGTGGGAAAGTGAATCCGAGAGCAGAGCTTTACAAGAGCAATATTACTACATTGTTCCTTATGCACAATGGGAAATATTCACATTTTTCTTGTTACCATGGGCAGCTTTAGATATCATTGAACATTCCACAGATAACTGCAAACTGCCAAGAGAATGCGCTAAGCTCAAATGTTTTTCAGTTGGCCTAATATTTTGAAGCCCAACTTCAATCCAAGGTCATTAAAACAAAAAGTGTTCAAAGTCTTACAGTTTGATTTCTTTAGAAATCAGCCAGTCTGAGTAGAAAAGCAAATTCCATGCCAGCATGCAGTAGTAGTGAAGGGCTCTTGCTCTCTGTGTGAAAGCAATGGTCTCTCTGGAGAGGTTGTTCAAACCCCCTGCTAACGCTTTTACCTTACTAGAGCTGTCACTCAGAAGGGGGCTGGTTGAACCTGTCCTAAAAGACCACTGCTTCCACACAGAGAGCAAGGACCCTCCTCTGCAGCATGCTGGCAGTGGACAGGCTTTTTTATCCAGATGTGGCAGCTTTTTAAACAAAACAAACTATAAGACTTTGACCACATTTTGTTAAGATGCAACTGGAATGTATTTAGCTGATTTTATCTAAACGTCCCACTGAGCTTTAAAAGTCTGTACATGACGAGATCAGCACCATTGTTATAGGAAACATGTACTTATAAAGTATAAAACTGTCATTGATGACCATCTTCTGAAAATACTTGTGCCCTGGGGTCCATGCTGATTCGCTGGTACTAGTACTTTTTCAGTAACTGACCTGGAATATGGAATTAGGAAAATACAACAGCAGGTCTGACATCACTGTGATTTTCCTGATCGACATGCTTGTTCTGAGTCATTGTGTCAGAAAATACAAAAGTCAGGAATGTGGTCAGCAATGGCAGCCTTCATATTTCTCTCACTACAGACTTCCTTTAAAGCTGAACTCCAGGTATGTTTTTTATTGAATAGTTACATTGATCCAGCTTGGACCAACAGAAGTATACATATCTCATACCTAAGGGACCGCTGGGGAACCGGACACTCACTGTAGTAGTCAGTCTCCAGGATCTTTTAGGTCCTGTGATAACAGGCTGTCCTACTTCATACTGACCACTTGCTTGGCACTACCATCATTCACAGAATGCCTTGCATTTTATTTAATAAATACAAGGTGTTCTCTGATTGGACAAGGTGGAGATCGAGACACCACCGCCCCCCTCTCAACCTCATCCAATCAGAATGCCTTGTATTCACTGAAAAAAAAATACTCAGCATTTTGTGGCAGTGCAAAGTGAATGATCTTCAGTCAGTGTGCAAAGGGGAAGATTCTTAGCACAGCACCCGGAAGATCACAGCAATCACTGTAGCAGCACCAACTACTACAGATTACAGAGATTGTCAGATTCCATGGTGGCCCCTCAGGTATGAGATATGCATATCTACATTGTCTAAGTTGTACCAATGTAAGAATTATTTATTTATTATTTATTTCAGGTACTTATATAGCACTGTTAATTTACGCAGCGCTTTACACATATATATTGTACATTCACATCAGTCCCTAACCCTCAAGGGGTGTACAATCTACGGTCCCTAACTTACATTCATAAACATATTAGGGCCAATTTAGGTAGGAAACCGGAGAACCCGGAGGAAACCCACTCAGGCACAGGAAGAACATGCAAACTCCAGGCAGGTGGTGCCGTGGCTGGGATTTGAACCAACAGCCCTAGTACTGCCAGGCAGAAGTGCTGTGGGGCCCGCAATTAAGATAATTCCTGGCATGCAGGATGCCACTCAACTGACCCAATGCTCATTGTAGTGTATTAGCCTCACCCAACACTGCTCCACCGGCCACCCAACGTTGGCTGAGGCCATGCACTACAATGAAAATTAGGTTGGTTGAGCTGTGTCCTGCCTTCTTCATGCGGACACTCCTGGATTAGTGAAATCAGACACCTATTCCCATATTCTGAGTACCAGCGGGGATACATCCATACCTCCAGCTTTGGGCGACACTGTATGTCTTTTCAATTTGTGGAGTGCAGTTTTAAGTTCCGCCTTTCACAAAAAAAAAAATTAAAAAGGTGAACTAACACACTACGCCCTCCCTGTCCCCAGTGTACTTACCTCTGTGGATGATTAGCTGTCACTGCCTACGCAGCTGGTGCAGTGGATAGAGAATTTGAAAGCTGTTGTCATTTTCCCTTTCTTTCCTTAGGGACATCGGGAGAGATCAGAGCGACTCTGATTGCTCATAGAGGTCTCATGGCAGCATATGACCAGATCAGGATTGCTCTGATCTGTCCTGGCGTCCCTAAGGAAAGGAGGGACAAAAGTCTGTGGATTTTTAAATCTCTGGACCACTGCACCAACTGTATGGGCAATGAAAGCTAATCATCCAATGCATCGGGGACAGGGAGGGTGTAGTGTGTTCATTTTTTTTTTTGTAAATAGGTGAACTTACACTTTAAGGAGGATGTCATTAACCACATCCTTTCACTTGCCCCTTACAGCACCCAAATAGAAAACATGTACTTAGCTGATTTTCAAGATGGCTCGGCTCAAAGTGCATCGTGTGTATTTGGGACAGGCGGCTTTTACCCAATAGATGTAATTATAAATCTTAATCATTTCTCACATTATTCCTTTTGAAGACAGATATACATTTTAATCAGCGTCTCCTTGGAATACTGGCATATAAATTATTAATTAGCAGACAGCTCCCTCCTAAAAATATCATGAAACACTGCTTGCACAATGCAAAAAATAGGGAAAAAAATAATGATAATTAAAAAATGAAAACAACTGAAAAAAAAAACCTCTTCCACCTCATTAGTGCTGGTCTAAAGACATGTGATTTGAACTCAGTGTAATTAGCAAATGGCTCATTTGTAAAGGAGTTTCCACTTCAGTGGTTGCAGAGAAGTGTACTAGACATGTGTCTTCACATACAGCAACCTTGGCCTTGTACTCTTAGCACGTTTGGGTAGATATAACAGGCTCCTGGAGTGCGTTGCTTCATTTAGGGGAAATCATGCATTGAACTATATTCCTCCGAGTCTTTGTATTTGGAAACAAACAAATCATCATTTTTAATGTGATGTTAAGTAAAAAGGTGACAGAAACACATTTTCCCTAACAGACATACTACATAGAATCACTTTTAAAAGAACTTTTTTAATTATGACAATATTTGTAAAGGATAAGGCTATTCATAGGCTGCATAACACCAGTTGGTAGAATAAGAACTTTTTTTTAAAGCTGTGCAGACATAGGGGTTAAAGACAAATAGACTATGCACTCATGTGGTAAAGCTTCGTTTGTAAAGAATACCCAATCAGATGCAAGGAAATTCTTTTAAAAAAAAAATTTTTGCTTTCACATGATTGGATGATGGAAATCAGCAGTACTTTACCTCATTACCAAGCGCTGGGGAACTTTCAAAGTGAAAAGTCTATTAACATTTCGTAAATCAACCCCAAAAAGGTTGAGCTACTAAAGACTGTTATCTTTGCAAGGAAAGTTGCACTTTGCAAAGGAATTTTCCCCATATTAAAGCACTGGAAACATCAAGGTTGAGTTAAACTCTAAAGAGCAGGACCCTCTGTTTCCTCTTTTACCAAATTGTATTGTAACTACTAATATGTCTACCTTCATTTTGTAAAGAGCTGCGCAAACTGTTGGCGCTATACAAATCCTATATAATAAAAATAATAATAATACTACAGGTTATTTACTTTGCAAGGAAAGTTGTGCTTTGTAAGGGATATTACCAATAATAAGGCTCTGGAGACATAGAGGTTGAGTTACTAAAGGCTGTTTACTTTGCAAGGGAATTTTCCCCATATTAAAGAACCGGAAACATCAAGGTTGAGTTACTACAGGCTATTTACTTTGCAAGGGAAGATGTGCTTTGCAAGGGATTTTATCAATGTTAAGGCTCTGAAGACAGAGATCGATTTACTAAAGGCTGTTTAATTTGCAAGGTAAGTTGCACTTTGCAAGGGAATTTTCCCCAGATCTTAGTGAATGTGGTGAAGTTCCACTTTACGAAGAATACCCAATCATGTGCAAGGAAAAGATGAAAACAGCATATTTGCTTACACATGATTGGATAATGGAAATAAGCAGAGCTTTATCTTATTCACTAAGCTCCAGAGAAAATTCCTTTACAAAGAAAAAAGCCTATTTGCTTGTGGTAAATCACCTGCAGTATCACTGTCCCACCTCTTAAATGGTTTTTAAAATACTAGAATTCTCCACACTAACACTGCTGACACTCAGCTTAGGCTTTAACCCTCCTACATTCCTATTTAAAGATGGACAGTAAACAGATAAAAAAGACACAGATAAGTGCAAGCATACACAATTAACTACTTGCCTACAGGACACTTATACCCCCTTCCTGCCCAGGCCAATTTTCAGCTTTCAGCACTGTTGCAGTTTGACAATTGCACAGTCATGCAACACTGTACACATATGAAATTTTTATCATTTTTTTTGAGACAGATAGAGCTTTCTTTTGGTGGTATTTAATCACCTCTGGGTTTTTATTTTTTTTGATAAACAAACCAAAAGCAACTGAAAATTTTGAAAAAAGGTTTTGTCTTAGTAACTGTAATAAAATTTTTGTAAATACGTGATTTTTCTCCTTCATTGATGTGCGCTAATAAGGCTGCAGTGATGGTCACTGATAGGCTGCACTGAAGAGGAGGCACTAGTAGGTGGCACTGATGGGCATTGACAGGCATCACTGATGGGCAATGAAAGGCAGCACTCATATAAGGCACTGATAGGTTGCACTGACTGGCACTGATAGGTGGCACTGACTGGTACTGTTAGGTGGCACTGATAGGCAGCACTGATGGGTACTGATAGGCAGCACCGGTAGACGGCACTGGCTAACATTGATAGGTGGCACTGACTGGCAGCTCAAATGGGCACTGATATGTGGCATTGATGTGCACTGGTAGGCACTCATATGTGGCATGGACGTAGCACTGATGGGCATTTGCAGGTGGCATTGATGAGCACTGAGGGGTGGCATTGATGGACACTGACAGTTGGTACTGATGGGGCTACTGATGCTCTGATGATCAGTGTACATGTCCCCATTGAGTAATGCCGATTACCGGCTCTCCTCTCCTCACAAGCTGTCAGAGTGACAGCTCGTGAGGAGAGAAATGCCGATAACCAGCATTTCCTTATTTACATGCGATCAGCTGTGATTGGACACAGCTGATTACATGACAGAGCCAACATCTTCGGCTCTTTCCGCTGATCGGTGATCCGCTGTGTCCCAGGGACACAGCGCACCACCAATAGCCACACTGCGCACGTGCGGTTTGAGTGGGAAGACGTTATATGATGACCTCCCATAACAAGAGAACTGCCCTGCGTCCATCCTTTCCCCTCCATTACTGTCCTCAGTGACCCCATTACTGTCCTCAGCTCCCCGCATTACTGTACTCTGCCCCTCCATTATTGTCCTTGGTCCCCCTCCATAAATGTCCTCAGTGACCCCATTATTTTCCTCAGCCCCCCATTAATATCCTCAGTCCCCCTCCATTAATGTCATCAGCCCCACTCCTATTATTGTCCTCAGCCCCACCAATGAATGTCCTTAGCCCCTCAGCCCCCCTCCATTAATGTCCTCAGCTCCTATTTGAATGTCCTCAGCCCACCCCCTCCATTCTTGTCCTCTGCCCCCCAATGAATGTCCTCAGCCCCCCTCCATTATTATCCTCAGCCCCCCAATGAATGCCCTCAGCCCCTCCCTCCATTTATGTCCTCAGCCCCTCCCCAATAAATGTCCTCAGCCCGCCATTAATGTCCTCACCCCCCTATTAATGTCCTCACCCCTCCCTCCCAATTAATGTCCTTAGCCCTCTCCATTAATGTCCTCACCCCCCTCATGAATGTAATCAGCCCCATTATTAATGTCCCCAGTCCCCCCTCCATGATTGTCCTCAGCCTCCCCAATGAATGCCCTCAGCCCCTCCCTCCATTAATGTCCTCAGCCCCTCCCCAATAAATGTCCTCAGCCCCCTCCATTAATGTCCTCAGCCCCCTCATTAATGTCCTCACAACTCCCTCCCAACTAATGTCCTTCGCCCTCTCCATTAATGTCCTATGCCCCCCCATGAATGTCCCAAGTCCCCCCTCCATTAATGTCCTCAGTCCACCCCCAATAATGTCCTCAGCCCCCCAAAGAATGTCCTCAGCCCCCCCTCCATTCTTGTCCTCTGCCCCCCAATGAATGTCCTCAGACCCCCTCCAATATTGTCCTCAAACACCCAATGAATGTCCTCAGCCCCCCCCATTAATGTCCTCAGCCCCTCCCCAATAAATGTCCTCAGCCCCCTCCATAAATGTCCTCAGCCCCCCAAAATGAATGTCCTAAGTCTCCACAATGACTGTCCTCAGCCCCCCCCCAATAAATGTCATCAGCCTCCCTTCATTATTGTCCTCAGCACCCCCCAATAAATGTCCTGAGCCCCCCCATCCATTAATGTCCTCAACCCCCTCCAATGAATGTCCTCAGTCCCCCTCCAATGAATGTCCTCAGCCCCCCATTATTGTCCTCAGCCCCCCCCCCTATTATTGTCCTCAGCCCCCCCCCCCATTATTGTCCTCAGCCCCCCTCCAAATAATGCCTTCAGTCCCCCCTCCAATAAATGTCTCCAGCCCCCCTCCATTAATGTCCTCAGTCCCCCCCTCCAATGAATGTTTTTAACCCCCCCCCCTTCATTAATGTCCTCAACCCCATCCATTAATGTCCTCAGTCGCCCCTCCAAAGAATGTCCTTGCCCCCCTCCAGTGAGAGGTAAAGTGAATAACATTGATTATCTAATTCCAGTGACACGTGAAAGTTGATGGGACATATTAGGTAGCAAGTGAACATGTAGTCCCTGAAGCTGATGTGTTGAAAGCAGAAAAAAAATGGCAAGTGTAAGGATCTGAGTGACTTTAACAAAGGCAAAATTATAATGGCTAGACAACTGGGTCAGAGCAAATTCAAAACTCTTGTGGGGTGTTCCCAGTCTGGAGTGGTCAGGACCTACCAACAGTGGTCCAAGGAAGGAAAACTAGCTCACCAGAGGCAGGGTTATGGGTGGCCAAGGCTCACTGGTGCATGTGGGGAGCGAAAGCTGGTTTGTGTAATCTAATCCAATACAGTTACTGTAGCACAAATTGCTTAAAAGGTTAATGCTGGTTTCAAAAGAAAGGTATCAGAACACACAGTGCATTGCAGCTTTTTGCATATGGGGCTGCATAGCTGCAGACCGATCAAGGTGCAGACCCATGTCCACAGTCAAAAGCACCTACAATGGGCATGTGAGCATCAGAACTGGACCATGGAGCAATAGAAGAAGGTATATTTGAGTTGTTGACTTGAATTCCAAACTCTCCAGATCTGATTCCATTTGAGCATTTGAGACCAATCCATGTTGACCCTACTTCAAAACTTACAGGACTTAAAGGATCTGCTACTGATGCCTTGGTGCCAGATACCACAGCATACCTTCAGAGGTCTAGTGATGCCTTGACTGGTCAGGGCTGTTTTGGCAGCAAAATGGGGGACCTACTTAATTTTAGGTGGGTAGTCATGTTATGGAGGGTGGTTGTAATGGGATGATCAGTGTATATATTTTTAAATCACACTAATAGACTGTCAGCTGAAATATGATTGATTTCTCCATCTATCACATATACTTTTCTTCCAGCAATATAAATTAGGATCTATCCTTTTATAAAACTCTGTAGTGTTGAGTATTTATCTAACTAATGGCCATTGTTATACTTTGGCAACCACCACAGCACACAGCTAGTTAATCCAGTGTTCTTTTTCCATTCTCGAAGGCTTTCCCGCGGGAACTTATTAATAAAATACCACTGAAATCAGCAGGACTGCGGCTGCAGCGACCGAACCAAAACATGCTTTAATGATTAGGCTTCTATTCTAATAGCCGGCTGTGCGACGCATTTCAATCCTGCAAATGTCTAATTGAAAACTTTGAAGATGAGGAGGTTTAGTGTTCTAGATTTCTATGTTCTCTGATTTGCTTTAATTACTTGGAACAATCATTCCCTCAAGCTTTTGTTTTGACTTTTTTTCTCCATGATTTCAATGAGTTGCGGAAATATGCACAGTGTGCACATAGAACCTATCCACCTGGCCAGATATGGTGTCTAGCATAAGAAAGCCGCAAGTGCAATAATCATCTCTTCAGCTTCAGAAATCCTCTGGTTTCATTATTTATGCTATTTGAATGTAAATTACACAGATAGTTTGAAAGAAGTGCACAGTGGGAATTTAGCTCCTAACCTTAGGTACGACTGTTGAGCAAATGTATAGTCTTTATTTGCAGGGCATATTCTTTATTGCTGTATGTTTCTAAAGTTCACATTTTTCAAAATTTTGCCCAGCAGTATATTGATTTTCTCAATGAGGGTTATGTCACAATCTTCACCTCATCCAGTCAGAGAATGCCGATATTCATTAAAATAGAAAAAAAGGCATTCTGTGAATGGACGAAGCACCAAGTGAGTGACCCCCATAGTCAATGTGCGGTGGAGAAGGCACTAGCACAGAACTACTAAGCAGGACCCAGAAGAATGGGGCTAATACTGTAACAGCACCAACTGTTTCAAAGTAATTTCCAGCTTCCCATTGGTCCACCAAGTATTAGATATGCATTTACATTGTTGCAAGCTGGACTAATGTAAGTATGTAATTCAAAAAATGTTTAGAGTTTAGTTTTAGAGAACAACAAGCTACCAGTTTATACACTTAAAAGTCTAGGAACCCTGGACATCTAAAGCTGGGTATACACTAGCAGAATTTCGAGCGAAAATTTGTATGACAATTCTCACAAAAAATTTCAGTACATTAGAATGCTGTTCAAAGTAGTTCAAGATTTTGTTTGCTTTTAACATTCAATTTTGTAATCAATGGACTTTAACCGTTTCAATACCGTGTGATTTTACACCTTCCTGCCCAGGCCATTTTTCAGGTTTCAGCGCTCTCACACTTTGAATGACAATTGCGCGGTCATACAACACTGTACCCAAACTAAAATTTTATCATTTTCTTCACACAACTAGAGCTTTCTTTTGGTGGTATTTAATCACCGCTGGGGTTTTTATTTTTGCTAAATTAACAAAAAAAAAAGACCAAAAATTTTGAAAAAAAAACACATTTTTCTTTGTTACTGTTATAAAAGTTTACAAATAAATAATTGTTCTTCATAAATTTAGGCCGAGATGTATTCTGCTACATGTCTTTGGTGAAAATAACCCAAATTAGGATGTATTTTTTAGTTTGTAGGAAAGTTATAGAGTTCACAAACTATGGTATAGATCTGAATATTGATCAATCCTGAAGAACTGACAGCCAATCTAATTTCTTGAGGTCCAAGAATGTCAGAATAGTACAGATATCCCCAAATGACCCCTTTTGCAGAGTAGACAGTCCGACGTACTTCATAAGAGGCATGGTGAGTTTTTTGAAGTTGTATTTTTTTGTCATAATTTTTCGGAAAATTAAAAAATTAAAAAAATTATTTTCACTATTTTTTTTTTTTTACATACTGTCACCAGTGCAGTACAGCGTCTTCATATAACTGGCATGGCGGTGAACATGGACACTGACTGGTGACAGTATGAAAAAAAAAAATATATATATATATTTTTTTTTTATATTTAATTTTTTATTACATTTTTTTAAAGATTTTTTTTTTTCATATTTTACTATGACCAAAGTAGTACAATGTTACCATAGTAACATTGTACTACTTTGGGGGAGTGATCAGTATTTTTTATTTTTTTTTTTTTATACACAGTTTGCTTATAGCAAAGAATTACTTTGCTATAAGCAAGCATTTAACTGAATGAAATCGATTCATTCAGCTTTTTTTTTTTTTTTTTTTTTTGTGTGCTTAGCTGTGATTTGGTCACAGCTAATCACATGACATGTGCATGTGACCTGCTGTGACCATTCACAGCTAGGCACTAGTATACAATGGATGGCATCATGAATGAAGCCATCCATTGTATACAACTATCA